AAGACTTAATGGACCTCCGTATCATTCAAATTTGCCCAGCATCATTTATTGTTGTCTCCGTTTTTAAAATGCTTTTGGAAGATATAGCATTTGCATTGAAAATGCCTTACTTTGAAGTTCGTACTGTGTTATTAGGATGCTATGGATTATAAAACTTTGCACCATACTCCATTTCGCACAAATTATCCGAACAAAGAACATTTCCCTTTCTTCCTGTGGCGACAGTTCTTCCAAAATCACCTTTTGTTGCTTTTCTGAAGTTTCTCCAACTCTTTCTTGTTGAGCTCAATTTTACAATCCTCTAATATTTCCTTCACATTTTCAATGTTAACGTTTATGCTAGTGGCTTTATTTAGATATAAAATATCGTAGATGAAAGAATGATCTTCACTATCACAGCCATCGAATTTTCTACCTGCAGCGCAATCTGGCCTTAATTTCCTCCAAGACATATTTTCATGGTCTCGTAAATCAGTTGTTGTTAAGCTTTGTTAATGAGATTTAAGCAACTGGACACATTAAAATGATGATTCTAAAAGTTCCTGAGAGTTAATTCTGTGTCGAAGAGTTGTAGAGACTTTAGGTTAGCAGGAGTAAAGGAAAATGAGCAATGCCTTCGCCGGAACTCGAACCTCGGACCTCTCGAATACGTGCCGAGCGTGCTGACCATTATACGACGAAGCTAAGAAGACGGGAGAAGTATCGTATATACTCCCCTTTTTAAAGGGCGACTGGGGTTCAGGGGCCCCTATCTTCAAATCCTGGTGGTGGAGAATTATCATCCATCATTTTAGTTCGGCGCCACTGTAGATACATTAGATTATTTCGAAGCAGGAGACGTGAAAAATGAGCAATGCCCTCTCCAGAAATCGAAACACGGACCTCTCGAATACGCACCGAGTGTACTGACCACTACACCACGAAAGCATGCTAATAAGGTGGGAGAAATACCTTTTAGGGTGTCTCAAAATACCTTTAAAAGTCGTTGTTGCGACTTGAAAATTCCTAAGAAACAAAGAACATTTTTCAATCCACAGTTTTTTTTCTTTTTGTTTCTGTTAAAAATTTCCAATGTTCTTCGAGAATTCGCTGGTCAATTTGCAAAACGATTAAAAGTGGTTGCCAAAGTCTGAATTAGATATACATATTCTAAATCTAGCCTAACTAGATTTGAGATATGTCTGGGCAGCAGCAGGAATATGTTAAGAATTTTTCAAAGATGCTGTTAAAACACTTATATGTTACAACTTGACCTCAATGCATATATAATAAAGATTAAAAAAAAGGAAACGGGTAACAAACGGAGGTATACTGGGAGAATTACCTGTAATATAACATGTGATAATTTCAGTTTGCATTAGTAGTATGTCTTACCAAGTTATAAATGTCTGTTCTTAAAATCATCTGATTTAAAATCTTATGTCTATACTCTTTGATATAATTATGTTCATTTTGAATTCTTAGCTAAATTAGTTAGTATTAAGCTGTTTATAACTGTCTGTTCTTAAAATCATCTAGTTTAAACTTTCATTTTCATACTCTTTGTTAGAATTATGTTGATTTCTAATTCTTTCTGAATTTTCACTTCGAAAGTTTCGTTCCTTGGTTTGCTGATGCAGACATTGACATAGTTGCTCATCTTTAACGTCCTTATATTCCAACAAAATGCTTTTATCTTGGAATTTCTGTCTGCACAAAATGGCATATATATGCAAAATTTCTGAAAATGTCTTTGCATGTTTAGAAAATAATTCTGTGGTTTTTTAATTATAATGAGATTAATTTAGGTTATATCTCTGACAGAAAGTACAGAATTTAATTAATTGGAGAACGCTAATCATGTCATATTCTCACTAATTTACAATAATCGTGATTTTATAGACAGAAAAAGGTAGATTTGGGAATATCTACATAAAATATAACTAGATTTAAGAAGACATACAGCAAATTAATTATTCTCTTTTAAATGAAGCAAAGCTATTTCCCCTTTTACAGAAACTTACTTTTCTGTTTTTTCAGAAAATTGTGTTCCATTTTCAAGAAACTTCTTTTACTTTTCTGTTTCTTAATTGCACTTTTCATGCCTAATGGGCTGCCGAGCTTCTCTGCGCATGGTCATAAAAACTCTCATAAAATGCAGGCTGAAGTGACAGATAGATAATTAAGTTTGGTGATTTAAATAAATGTCTTAGTGATTACTGTTGCTTATAAAATTATTTTCTTTGTTAATATCAACGGAAATTATTCGTCAGTTTATTTGATTCATAATCTTTATAAGCTATAAGCATTTAGGTTCCGGTGCCAAAATGTATTAAAAATTATGGAGAAGTAAAGAACAATCATTATAAAATTATGAGATTTCTAAAGCGTTTTAAAGTATTATAGTCTTTTATTAATTAATTTTCAGTTTTCTATTTAAATTTATGTAATTATTATAATCTAAAATTCGTGCTTTTGAACTTATTGCCTTAGGAGTTAGTGATGTTCATTTATCTGAAGAATTTACACAATTACGAGTTCATTCTTCTTCAGCATGCATTAAAGCTATTTCATTATTACCATGCCTTGCAATTAGGTAATAATTTTCATAATGATATGTTAAAATAAATATTTTCTCTTTTTTTTATTCAGCTTATGAAGATTTCTTAAAAATACTTCCTTTTTACTTCGTACAAGGAAGTAAAAATGGCCCATTTTTAATAAAGATTTTGTTTTATAGAGATGGCGATACAAACTTGAGTAAACATAAAGCAGTGGTGCTTCAGTTATTTTAATAAAGAGATTTCAAATAATAAAAAAGCATAAAATGATGGGATTATTATCGGAATTCTAATCTGAAATTTTTTTAATTCAAATTATATTCATCGAAAGGAATTCACGTTACATTCCTAAATATATAGTCTAGTTTTTGAGCTTCTGCACTTTGAAATGGAATAACGTAACATTTTTCTTAAACCAAATTAAAGGCATGCATTAGATTTTGTGACATCCGGGCAGAAAAAGAGTAGGATTTCATGTTGCGTCTTTCTTACTCTCAACGTTTGTACAAAATGGATCAATATCATAATTTTCATCATAAATACCCATAGAGGTCTTCAGACCTGAAAATCGTATTATTATTTGCTATTCGAAGTAACTGAAAGCAGAAATATATACAGATCATCCAACAACCAACGTTATGTTAAAAAACACTTTTTGACAGCACATGTTGTGGATTCTCATAAATACGCTGTTTCTGGTCCCCATATATCCGTTCAGTTCAGTTCACTTGATGATGGATGGGGACATCCAGTCTTTATTAAAGCTTAATATATGGTAGTGTGCCACATACATTATTAACTGGATTTATTTTAACTTTAAATAGCAGTAATCAAATTAATTGCATTTTTCATTTTACAGTGAAAAATATTATACCATAAATTTTTTGATATATTTACATAAAACAACAAAAAACTTTTAAAACAAAATTCTGAAAGCTTTCAGCTTTTAAATTACGTCTAAAGGGATGTTTTTTTTAACATTTTTTGTGTTACCTTTATTGATTAAATATCATGTTCTTCGCATTTAAACCATAAATCTGAGTTCAATAGCAATATCGCAAAATAATATTAAATTGAGCATATCATTTAGAATTTCCGATACTCACTATCATGCGCTGGAGATAATTTTTTCTGTACAAAGTTGCCATTGCTCGTTTTGAAATCCTTGAATTTTTTACAGAAAAATTCCTTACAGTTTTATAAAATATGAAATCGATAATAAAACAAATTCCAAATTTCAAATTTTGTCTTCCACATGCTCATATTCGTAGGAGGACTACGTCATTCAAAATTCAATGGCTCTATGTACCGTTGTTTTATCCCAATGCGATAAATATACATACATTTATGCAGATTTTTCATTACTTAATTTCTTCAAATATAATGCAGGACTCTAACATTTGATGGCAAAAATTTGAAAAGTGAAACTTTACATTTTTAGTGAACCAACGCAAAATCTCAAAACGCGAAAACAATAGTCCTTCAGAGACAAAGCCCCTTTGGACTAATAATGGAATTTTAAAAGGAAATGTAAATATGTTATTATCATATCATTTATATATTAATGTGGGGGAGGAATATCTTTTTCCAATGGAAAAAGTAGATCAATCATTTCACGAAATTTAAGAACAAGATGTTTTAACTTAATACGGAATCTTTTAAAATAAATTGCATTTCTTTCACGAAATTTAGCATTAAGAATGGTATTGTTTCGTTAATACAGATCATTATATAATGATGTAACGTAATGATCATTATTGGTAAATCCCAGTTTATAGTAAAATATTGTAAAAGTAAGTGTTCTGTAATGTACCTTGATAACTGCGGAATAGAAATTTTTTTATTAAGATTCGCTCTTGGTAGGCCATTAAAGGTGCATCTGCCGTGTTCACACAAATCCACGCTTCTTTTCATTTTTATAAATCTTCCATTAATGGCCGAATATATAAGACAACCAAGCACTGATAATTCAACCTGACTTCGATTCCTAGCGTATTTTCGCAGTTTTCCCCTGTATGGTGGACGGCTACGAAATATGGGTGGATGGATACAGGTTTTAATATTCTCCGTGACTCTCATGAACGTTTCACGCAGTGTTTGGGTAATAGTGGCTCATACATTCATAATTTATTGCGACGCATTTTGCAATTTCTGCAGATGAAACATCTTGTAAGCATAATTTAAATTTAAATTTGCATAATAAAGTTTCTAAGGACCCTCCTCTTCCATTTCATGATTTTATGCCTTTTTACGGTTTTTTGCTTTACATTATGATACAAATAATTCATTGAAACAAGTTTAAAAAGTTTGCATCTGATTCAGTCTGTGCCATGGCTCAAAAATTATCAATAATTTGAAAGGTGCTTAAAATTATTAAGTATATGAAAGTTTTATTTTCAATTTTTGATTTAAACTTGCAATCAATGCTGTAAATAAAACTTATTTTTCTTCTTTCAACAGATCTGAAATTGCATTTTTTTAACTCTTCGGCTGATTTGAATTTGAAATCCTTAAAACTCAGCTGCTCATGTAGGCCACTGAACTAGGGTAAGCTGATTTTTTTAAAGTTTACAGTGTATTTGTAAAATATTCATCTTACTATCATGTTTTGAAAGTAGAGAACTTCAGTTATACCTTCAATAGATGATTTCCCCCTAATAATGATGTTTGAAACTATCTGAGAAATTAGGATATCACCAGCCTGGAATTTAACCCAAGACATTTCTTTGTTCACACTTAATTTTTTCAGAGTGCTGTTATCTAGAATATTTTCCAGTATTTTCTATTTAAAGATAATATTCAAAACGTTTCCTTTCATTTTGTGACTAGCGAAAGTAAGCATTCTAACTTGATATTCGCTAATGCATTGATGATATAGAGATCGTTTGCATATCTAAGGGGATTTCTAAAGTAAACAATGAACGTATTTAGTTTTAATTCAAGACAGTTGTGGTTTCGTGAACTCTTTCCAAATGAATGAGCCTCGAATGTTTTCTGTAAACTGAAAAATACAGAATTGTGATTTTAATGAGTGACATATTAACGTAAGCACATTAATTCTGTGCTCTGAATAGATGCTACTTTCGCAATCAAACAGAAATTATTTCAGCCATGAATTTATTACCTTTGCAACTTATCAGGTTTATGAAAATTCAAACTTATGTATAAAAGAACTGGCACTGCGAAAACAATATACTACGTAATGTTAAACTTAAGATAATCTAAAAAGAAATTTTCAGGCAGCATTATCAGTTATCATACTAATTTAATATAATTAATTAATTATATACAATGTTAATTATCATTTTGGTTATTTTTTAATCTATATAAAATTATGCAATGTATCTGACTTTTAATCAATAACTGCTTTTATTATTGGACTAGCATTTTCATTTCTGCATCTACCATAATTTTTTCTGAAATTTCCATAAATTCATTGTGACACATAGCATTTGAAGCTTTGTCATTCACGATTGAGTTAGAAGCGTCACAGATTTTTGAGGATTTTAATTAAATAAGCTGCACTTTCCTTCTTCTAGATCTTCCAGATTAATTTTTTTCGGTACTGTTCATATTTCTCCTTCTTCTTTCTACTTTAATAAAATCTTTTTAATTGCTCAAGCGGTTCACATTTTTTAGCAGATTTTAATGGAATAAAGCATAGACTCGCATTATTTTTTTACAGAGAGTCATAGACGAATTTCCGGCAATTTTAGTGCCGTTTTCATTTCGTTTTTTTTAGAGGTAATATTCATCAATCTTAAATTTATACAATTTAAACAAAACTTTAACTTTTTTTTAGCGCAAAATAATCAGAAAGTCCGAGGGTATTAATACATTACTAACATTACTAGGACATAGCATTTAACATAAAGTATTTTACATTTTTTTTCTGTAACATAACAAGTAACTAAATAAGAAGTTTTATTTTTGTCATAATTTAAATGCTGTGTAATTGCTTTCAGTTTTCGAATGAAAAACTTAAGTTGAAAATGAATATGCGAAAGTAAGTTGCTAGTTCAAGGAGCATAAAGTATTTCGCAACAGTAAATTACACAGTAAAGTGTTGTAAAGATTATGTTAATTTTATTAGCAGTTAAATTTTGAGTTAAAGTTCCTTTCTTATCGATTCTTAACTTCAACTTACCACTTCCGGCCAGAACGTAGTTTTAGAATCACGTCTGAATACATAATGAGGAAGAACAGTATTTAACCGTGAAGTTCTTCGGTCTTAAGGAGTGAGATACCAGATATTCTGGATAGCACGCGTCCGCCTTTTTTTTAGACTACTCTCTCATAAGCAATTATTGCTTTGGGCCGTACTTTAGGCCCTTGAAAGCTTCGCATTCGCAGTCTATTAACGTTAAGGGACCAAATCTGTTAGAATCTTGATAGCTTCGGCTATATCTCTTTAGTTAAGATTAGTTTAGTTTAATTCTTAGTCTCTTAAGTCGAAGTGTCGGCTTTATTGTACACTAAAAGACAGCGTTTTGTTAAATTTAGTTGGAATAATAAAGGGTTATTTACCCTTTTATCTTGTTGTTTCCTGTCACACGAACTCAAGCAATTATTCGCTTATCAGTTCTTAAGATTTTTCCCTTCCAACTGTAACTTAGAATTACACAGTGAGGAATCCTACAGTGTAACTCAAACTACTTGAAACAATATGACTAGTTAATAATGACTTCTCTAGTAACAGCAAACTTAGAAAATATATTCATTAAAAGAATTGTTAATAAAGAATGTTTCTAACTCCAAATATAACACTCTTCAACTACAGAATCTTAAGTTGACCTATATGCGTTCCATCGTTTGAATCAAAAACAAATTGTAATAATAAATATTAATTATTATTTGCAACATTGTACAAACTGCGACCACATATCATCTTCGTTCTTTACTTTTGTTTGCGTTAATAAATCCAAGATTTTTGCGTTTGATTTGGGATTTAGATTTTACTAGTAATTAACTTTATGTTAATTACTCTTCTATGCATCTTTTCTGATCATGTTACCTTCTTACACTATTTTAAGACATGCAGAATAGTTTGAAACTTCGATTTAACTTTAACCGAAACTCCACTCCGAAGCTCTGTCATTTTACCGAAGGAAACCGCTTGCAGAGAACAAATTAGGAAATGATGAAAATCGGCTACGTTCCGTTAAGTGTTTAATTAAAATTAATTAAATTAAAATTAATTAAAATTAACTAGTTTCCGTAAAGTACTACTCTGATTAGGTTTTGTTGTTGATAACTTTGTAACTTTAGCTTCCTAGTAAGACTGTGTTGTTGACTGTCTACAAGAACTCACATAATTTAATGTTACTGTTTTTAGTTGTATTATGCCAAATCTTAACTAACAAAGTTTTATATTAGTTTTGCGTCTGATCTTGTATCTTAATAGTTAAGAAGTAATTTAAGCGATAATTCTCTAACCATTAAACATAACTATTTAGATCAGCTGTTAGATTTAAGATCAATGAGCTCCCAATTAATAATTAACATTTTAGAATTTTTAAAGCTAGAATCTATTAAGATAGTATTAGAATAGTAGCTTTTATTGAAGCTTGAAATATAGGAGGGTTAGAGAACAATTTCTAGGTGATAGAGAAAAACGTAGTCTGCGGAGATTTTTAATCTTAAGGGTACCAACAATCAATGATAATTCTTGAATTAGTAATCAGTAATAGTATTAAGAATACCGAAAAGCAATGATAATTCTTGAATTTATTTATTTATGCAAATACCATACAATTGGCCACTAAGCCATTAGTCTTGGTCTTGCTTCCCAGTACTTAAGAAAATTAGAACTAAAAGATAATAGTGCAGTGCATTTGTTCTTGATCCATGATCCAAACAGACTGAAGAATCCATAAGTCGAATTTTAAAAAGATGGGCATTCCGACAATCGCGCCCATTCAAAAGATGAAATAAGGTCACGGCTACAGGATGAAGAAAAATCTGGAATAACTGGTTTTAAACTAGTGAAACACTCCCAGGCCTTTCTGTTAGCTTCACCTGATAAGTGCAGTCAAAAGATGAAATAAGGCCATGGCTACAGGACGAAGAAAAATCTGGAATAACTGGTTTTAAACTAGTTAGACACTCCCAGGCCTTAGCTTCACCTGATAGATAGGAGGCAAACCACCTCTTCAATTCTAATTTAATTAGGAGTTTTTTAGAATTAAAAGTTATATGGTTATTAGTGTTTTGCAGAATAGTCGTTCCTTCTTTGCCAGGAAATTAGCTCTTTCATTTCCCTCGATGACACAATGAGCAGCAATCCATTGCAAGACAGTTGAGTCAGCCAGAGTGTTGAAAATCTTCCTACCTTGGTAAATTCGTCCGGAAGTATACAATTTATTGTTGGAGATAACCTGCAAAGCGGCAAAATAACAGCCCGAAGGAAATTACTCGAGCGTTTAACTGATTCAGAACAATAAATATAGCCTCAACTTCACCATCAAAATTGGTAGTATCTCTTCCCACTGCTTTATAGAATGCAAAATGGTTACAACAGATTCCTGCACTAACTCCAGTACCTCGCTGAGCCATGGATCCATTGGTGTAAACATGGGTTCAGAGGTTACTAGATATCTTCTCTCAATAGTTTCAATGCGATGGCTCTGATCGAGGCAGTGGCCATCTCATTGTTATCAATTTTCTCGCCAAGTTCAAGATATACACAAATGTCCGTATTCAAGAGGACATATAGGTACAGTTATACAATCTCCTTGCTCAGCATACAACTTGGATTGTACGTAGAAGACGAAGTGCTGAATACTCGCTACGTCTTTTGAGAATAAATACTGCAGAGGAAGGTTTAAAATAACCTTTTTATTTAAACTAAATTAAAACAGATGCACGCACTTGGTGCTCACAAATTACCACCACTTGTGGCTAACGTAAATTTAACAGAAAATAAGAACGTAACAAATGAAAAATAAATTAAGATATTTGACGACTGGTTCGGTTGCACACAGAAACACTGAGCCTAGAAATATCAGAATAAAGTGAAAGGTGTCTAACACCGACTAGACAGCTAATTTCAAACACACAATATAGTAAATTCAGAACTAAATCCGCTACTACTCTTTTTAAACTATCGAAACGCAGCTTAAATACTGCTTCTGAAACGCGTTTAGATTAACATCTACGTCATTACAAATTTACGTAACGGCAGGAAACTGAAATCAGGAGTGAAAGGAAAGCCAAACTAAAAATAATTGGTTCGAATAACGAACGTCCTTACACAGCCATTACATTCTTTTCACGAACAAGGTCTAGATCTTCTGCTAATTGATAACCAATTTCATTGAAATCCGATTGTGTCTTTAAACTCCTGTCAGTAATTCATTCAATATTTGTTATTCGAAAGCCTGCAAGGTTTTTGAAACAAAGCTGCAGCATTAATTCTTGAATTAGTAATCAGTAATAGTATTAAAATTCTAAACTATTAAATATTATTATTCTGTTAAAAACAATCATAATTCTTGAATTAGTAGTCAGTAATAGTGTTACAGATAATTATTGCATAGCTGTGTAAT